AAAAATTTTTTTTTCGATAATAATTTAAGTATTATCTATTATTATATATAAATTTATATATAAAAATATTTAAATAAATTAAAATATATATATAGTATAATTAAAAGTTTAAAAATTAAAAAATATAAAATTTAATTTAAAAATATAGTAAGTAAACAATAGTTTAAAAAACAAACTATATATATAATCTTAAAAATATATATTTAAAAATATAAAAAAATTTTTTAATTTATATAACAAAATTATTATTTAAAATATAGATTTTTATTAATCAATTGATTAAACAAAATAAAAAAATTTTTTTTTAATATTATAATTTTATATTTTTATTAATAAATAATTATAAGATTATTTAATTTGTATAAAAAATTTTTTAATATTCTTTGCAATATAATAAATAAATTTATTTAAGAAAATAGAATTAAAAAATAAAAAATAAAAAATTTTTCTATATTTACTTATATAGAATTTAAATTGATTAATTTATATAAAAAGTTGTCAGTTTTTATCACCGTTACTATACCATATAAGTATAAAATTAAAAATTTATTTAATTTATACTAAATTCAATCTATAGCATATATACAGTATATATACATATATATATACTTTGAATTTTTAAATATTTTTAACTTTATGACGAAAAATAGAGACAGGCGAAATTCGATGCCATTTGATTGATATATCTATTCTAATATTAGAAAGATAAACTAACTGTTCAAATGTTTATTCACGAATGTTACAGTATCTTCGCAATAATCAGAATAGTTGGTTAGTTTTACTCGCTTGAAAAGAAAATTTTCAGACATCCAAGAATACGGCAATTTTTGTGGAGGACATTTCCTCTTCTGCATCTTATCATTTACTTTCCGTAAAATCACCTATATTTCCCATTTTTATACATAAGTCAGATTCGAAAAAAATTTTGTAACTAAGTAAATTGAACAAGAAACGACATCCTAGTTAGTGCTCAATATTATGTAGGACAATTTTATACTAATTATTAAATAGCCATTACTAAATGAAGGAGTCTGTCACGGTTGATTTAACTTTGTTCGTCTCTTCTGTTCATACGGATAAATAGAAACGGATTGTGATTTTGACCAAAATCCAAATCAAATGCAGGAGTTAACAGTAATCGAACTCTATTTGTTCATTGAGGTTTAATGGGGTTAGAAACAAAGGCGGTATGTGACGTATCTTCCACTAGTTTCACTAGGTCTCATAATCTTGACCACCTGCAATTAGCCAAATCATTAGTAGGTGAATATAATCACATTTAAAAAGACGATAAGGAATTACCTGTCCTCTTTTCAATCCATAATACTTCGCAACAGGGTCCGTGATTTGGATACGTGGCAATTGTGTTTCTTTCAGTCGACTAAATCCAATAATTAAGCCATGATTAGTTTTCAACGCATTAATAGACTTTTTTGATTAATAAAATATAAATTTTACTATTTGCTAAGTAATATTTTCTTTTCTTCCTCGGAAAGAACATAGTGCTGAGGTACCAACTGATGTTGGGTAATGTTAACCATTAGATCTGCTTCTGAGAAAGTATCAATTTCATAATTTCTATTCTCTTTGGTGTTGATCACTTGGATGGCCTAATAACGAAATTGTAAATATCAGAAAAAATTCTAGAAAAACGTTGAAAAATAAACGTTACCTTATTAGCGGCAGCGGTCAAGGTACCTGGAAATACCACAATACCTCGAGAGACCTTCTGATCCAACATTTTTTGGCATAAACTAAGAAAAATCAATATTCAATAAAGCGCAAATATAAAATACAAATGCGAATTATGTATAACTACATTTTAAGGTATTTAACACCCACTGGCTTTTCATCAGGAAAAACAACCAGCAATTGTTCATTGGGATTATCGTTCTTTTGAACTTGAAACATCATTGACTCCTTACTAACATCGATTACAACAAAATAGTTAAGGTTCAGGCATAAAAACACCAATACTTTAACTGGAAAACTCACTGAATGACACCGTTCTTAACACAACGATCTTTAAAATACTCTATATCATTATATAAATCGCTGTTGATAATATAACCCTAATAAGAGTAGCGCTTGAATGAAGTCCTATGTTTAAGGAAATATGATCATATTTGATCAGAGAAAAGGTTTACCCTGTCAATGACCATTTCGTGAACCGTGCGATATACCCGAAACATGCGTGCTATTTCTTGTTCGGGAGTACGAATACTATCGTCTGCATCCATTGTTGTTTCTGTTAATTCTAAGTGCAATTATGAGATCCTATGTACAGTACTTAAGATCAATTCAATTCACGATACACGTGATATTTGTTTTATAATACAGTCGAACCTGGTTATGAGATTCTCCAACTAATTTCTTGTCTCTATTTAAATAACACTAGTTGAAATTATGCTATTCAATAGTTGAATTATTGTTGAATTTGGCAAAATGTAATAATAAAATCATTTTTGATTGTTGTCACTCAGTATTGGTAAAAAATTGGCAAATAGTAAAAAAAATTTTTTTGTATATTACAATAAAAAATTCAACAAAAAAATTGATACTGTGGAGATTGATTAAATTATTCATCACTTTCCTCTTCCTTCTTTTTCACTTGTTTTTCTTTTTCCTTTAAGATTTTTGCTTGACTCTTTTAAAACTAGTTTCAATTGATTTTATTTTATTAAATATTTTTTAAGATTTTTTGCTTTTTTTATTTACTTTTTAACTACTTCCTGAATTTTATTTATTTACTGCATATACTTTCCCTAGTTTGTTTCTCATCCTTTAAATATATTAATGATTCCTCATATTTGATAATTTTTCATTTTTTGAATTTAACTATTAATTCTTTATCCTTTTTTGACTCATTTCTTGTTCATATTTCAAAATCTCTTTCAAACTATATATCCAATTTGATAAACCTTTTGATAGTATCACATTATAAAAATATAAATAATCACAATATTATTTACAAGTTAACTGATATATTTGAATTGATTTCAAACATTTATTCAAATATTTAAACAAATTCTTTAATTATAAGTAATTATAATTAATATTATAATTATTTGACATAAAATATTCAAAATATCAACTTTAATCATATATATTTATTCTTTTTTTAATGGAATTTTCCAGATCAATCTTACATTTTTCAAATGAATAAATCATTGTTTTTTTAATTATATCAGTTAATTTATTTCAATATTTGACAAATTTCTTTAACCTTCATTTAATAAATAACTATGTGTTTTTAATTCTTTATATCCTTTTCTTAATTATTTGTTAAAAATTAATATTTAGAAATAATATAAATATAAAATATTTTAAATAAAAAACTCTTTCTGCTGATTCTCTGACCACACAGAAAAAAGATGTTCACAAGAAGTTTTTATACTTCTTTGCTAATAAAGTCTTAATACTTTCTTTAAAACAACTTGAAGT